GAGCAAAAGCATACAACACACTTTGTTGGGTTTCAAAAGCAGTCCCTTTTAAACTATGAAAACACTAAACAGTACTTTTTACATTGATGGAGTATAAAATTAAAATCTAGTCAATCTTTGGGGAGGCCTGCTAGGATCCTGCTCGGGTAGGTTACTTCGAGATGGACTTGGATTCAGTCTAATAAGTGGGAACATTGCTTTGGCAAGCCTCTTGTCTCAGAAGCAGAGTAAAGTTCTGCCACAGCACCACTGAGTCGTTTTGGTTTAGACTGCTGGTAGTCTGTTTTTCTCTCGAAATTCAGCAGGGATTATGAGGCGAGACGCTTTAGCCTAAAAGGGGAATGGGACCAAACTTGGGCGCGGCGCGCAAGTCTCGCCTCATTCCATGCTTGGCCATACCGCCCTTTTACGTTCGCGATCGCTTAACACTCGTCTAAGTGACCTTCTGAGAAAAGACCGGCTGCTCGGAGTCTATGTGGCTTCTCCAATCCCTAGGTCAGACTCAACTTTCACTTTAATTACTTTTTAGGTAATGGAGGAAGTGTCAGGCTGGGGACCAATCGTGACAGCGGGAATATTTGCATCCACCTTGTCATCAGCACTCGCAAGTCTTGTTGGTGCACCCAAGGCATTTCAAGCAGTTTGCAAAGATAACCTGTTTCCTTACGTCTCGTTTTTTGGTGTTGGGTATGGACCAGGCAATGAACCCCGCCGAGGATACATCTTGGCTTTCTTCGTGGCTGCGGCTTTCATTGCTATCGGAGATCTAAATGTCATTGCGCCAATTATTTCCAACTTCTTCCTCATTGTGTACGCGCTCATCAACTATGCAGTGTTTGCAGCTTCTTTGGCTCGTTCTCCGGGATGGCGTCCCTCATTTAAGTACTACAATCAGTGGGTGTCATTGTTAGCGGCTCTGCTGTGCCTAGCCATGATGTTCCTCATTAACTGGTGGGCAGCTCTGTTGACAATAGTCATTGTGACGATACTCTACAAGTATGTCGACTTCACAAAGCCTCAGGTAAGCTCGTTTGTAATTGTGGGAAAACGACAGAGATGTAGCAACACGTACCTTATAGGCTGCCATCTTGCTGGCCTTTTTAAAAATATTTTAAAATAATTTCTGAACTTTTTTCAAGCTCGTAAATGAAATTATATAGTATTTTTAAGCTTGCTTTGTCATCGCACATTTGCCAACTACCCTGTCAGGCCGATAACAAAGTTCATACGCAAGTAAATACGTACTCGCGAGCCTTCTACTCTAGCTAAGTTACAGTCGAAAATGAGCCATTTCTCTGTTACGAGGTGTTATGTCACTTAAAGTCGTGATCGGTCGGGAAAAACCCTCTGGTTTGCTTAGTTAGAACGGGTTAAATAACATTTCTGTGAAACAGTTCTTGTCTTTTCCTGATCAATGCAGGTTAACTGGGGATCCTCTGCGCAGGCGTACACCTTCGTCCAGGCCCTGCGCTATACTCGCCGGCTCGATGGAATAAGCGATCACGTGAAAAATTTCCGTCCACACTGCCTGGTACTGACGGGAAGTCCTCAGGAGCGGCCTAACTTGACATACCTTGTGTCACAGATCACCAAAAATGTCAGTCTGATGGTGTACGCTAATGTAGTTAACAAGCCTTTCGGAAAGATGCGTGCAGACGATGCGGACGCTAGGTGGATTAGAGAACACAAAATCAAAGCTTTCCGCGCAATGACTACAGGTTAGCATAAACTAGACCTGTCCATTCAATGGAAGAGTTTTTCATAATTTCATCCTGTTTCCACTTTGATCCCGTTTTAGAAATCTCAATTTACAAACCCTAACGGACGAATTGAACTCTACGGATCTTTATTCCTTTCCTCGAGTAAGCACCCCGAGGCACTTCAGTATTTGATAAAACAAACGTCAGTTGTGCGCAATTTTGTTATATACTTAAATTCAGTGGTAATGCACCCTTCTGTTACTTCGTATGA